ACCAGAGAATATGTATTTTTTTACTAATTTAATATTATATATTAATATTATTTGTAAAAAAGAAAGATACATGTTTGAATTTACTATCTTGCGAAAATTGACACTATTTGTTATTCCATGTGTAGAGTAATGTACTCCCAATTATTTACCATATTGAAAATTATAATACATAAATTTCATGTTATTATTTAAATAATTATTTTTTCTTCACTGATTCCAGTGACAATAAACTTTACGATTGATTTAACCTTTTTTAATTATATACTAATTAAAATACAAATTTTATTATGATTATACTAATAAATTGAATAACCTAAGTTAAGTTTAATCAATTCATAAAAAAACGAATTGATTTTATATATTTCAAAATATAATAATTCTAAATCTTTGGAATTAAATTTGTTTATCCACTTTATTTAATGGCTAACATTAAGAATATCAATTGTTTTGTTTAAAATGTATAATGATTGTATATACTATATATTGTATTCCACTAATAAGCATTTTATTATAATTCTAATAAATATAATGAAGTAAATATCTACACCAACTCCAACCCAAAAGTATCAAAATGAGTTCGCAAATATTTATGTGCTATTTAATATTTTGTTTTGATATTTATCTAAATGTATTTTCTTCAACCATAGGTATTAAATAGTTGTTAATTAAATATATCTAATTGCGACATGTTATTTTCTAAATGGACACTGAGGTGGTTAAATTCATAACTCATGTTTGATATTTTATTCTGCATGATTGCATAATGTATTTTTTACATTTTGAAAGATGAAATGTCAAAATACCTCAATTCATAACTCTATTAGAATTAAAAATTACTATCTTAGAGTATAAAAATAGTGGTTAAATGTTTTGATAGCTTATTTAATAATCCCACTCGAATGCTCTTGCCGTAAATAGTTTATATTAATAATTCCCCTAATGTTTGTTTCCGTCTTACATCGACCCCCTTATGGTATGATTTTCAAGGATTATTACGTGGAATATTCCAATAATGTTTATTATACCCTGCACACACGACATTTCTTTATGGTAATTTTTAAAGACAAAAATTACCCTCAGGTGAACTTTACACGAAATCTTTATTCTTCTTAAATAACACTTTCACAATTTTTTATTATTACCATGACAACCCTGAGGGTAACTTTTTAGTTTAAAAAGTACTATAAAAGAAATGTCACGTCTGCAATGGTGGACTCCATATTTTTTGGGACATTACATGGAATAAAAAAGATTCCGTAAAAAAATCACACCATAAGGGGGTCGTGTAAGACAGAAACAAACATCAGGGGGGTTTGGTATAATCACCGATAAGTGGGGGTGTTTTCTGTAATTTCACCTAAGTTCAAGAGAATTTTCATAATTTATCTTATTAACAATGATTATTGTTCTTTTACGTCTTAACGCTTACTTATACCCTTATAGTATTTTAAATAATTTTAATGTCAGTTTGATAATATAATTAAATATTAATTTCTAACATATTCATATGTGTTTTTTATGGTTCAACTGCCACACCTAAGAAAGTTGATATAAAGGTTCAAGATTGAATATAATTTTTTTTATACTGAATAATATATCATTGCAAAAAAAAATTGTTGCAAAATCAGAATTTGTGATTAATATTAGTATTATAAATTATAATTAAGATTATTTGAATTAGTATTAGTATTAATACTAGAAATAGGTTTCAGATTGTAATTAGGATTAATATAATATTAGAATTATGATTGATATTAGTATTAGATTATAATTAAGATTATGATTATGCTTAGTACGATAAGTAGTGACATGCATTAGTATTAGGATTGGGATTAGAATTATAATTAAAATTAGAATTAGAATTAACATTAGGATTAGCATTAACATTATTAGTATTAAAATTATTAGGCTTATGATTAGTGTTAGGAATAAGATTATGGTTAGGATTACGATTAGAACTATTATTAGTGTTATGAATAGAATTAGGAATACGATAAGGATTTGGATAATGTTAGAATTACAATCATAATTAGCATTAGCATAATAATTAGCATATCTAGATTAGCATTAGCATCAAAATTAGTATTAGCATTAACATTAACAATATTAACATATTAGTATTAGTAATAGTATTAATAATAGTATTAGTATTAATATTAGTATTAGTAGTAGTATTGGTATTAGTATTACTATTAGTATTAGTATTAGTATTAGTATTAGTATTAGTATTAGTATTAGTATGAGTATTAGTATTAGTATTAGTATTAGTATTAGTATTAGTATTAGTATCAGTATTAGTATTAGTATTAGTACAAATATTAGTATTAACATAAGCGTAAGTATTCGTATCAATATTATGTTCGGTATCAGTATAAGTATCAGTATTAGTACCACAACATGTATCAGTACCAATATCAGTACCAGTATCAGTACATTATTAGTATCGATATCAGTATCAGTATCAGTATCAGTATCAGTATCAGTATCAGTATCAGTATCAGTATCGGTATCAATATCAGTATCAGTATCAGTATCAGTATTAGTATCAGTATTAATATCAGTATCAGTATCAGTAACAATAACAATAACAATATCAGTATCAGTCGGTATCGGTATCAGTATCAATATATGTATACGTATCATTAACATTAAAATTAGTTTTAACATTTATATTAGTATTAGTAATAGTATTAGTATCAATATTAGTATTAATATTAATATTAGTAATAGTATTAGTATTAGTACTAATATTAGTATTAATATCAGTATATCCGTATAAGTATTAGTATCGATATCAGTACCAGTATCATAAAAAAATACAGTATCAGTATCAATATCAGTATCGGTATCAGTTTCAGTATCAAAATCAATATGAATATCAATTTCAGTATCAATATCAATATTAATATTAGTATCAGTATTATTAGTATAATATTAGTATTAGTATTAGTATTAGTATTTTTATCAGCATCAGTATCAGTATGAGTAACAATATTAGTATCAGTATTAGTATGAATATCAGTATTAGTAATAGTATTATAATTAATATTAATATTACCATGAGTATCAATATGACTATCAACATCAGTATCAGTATTAACATCAGTATCGGTATCAGTATCAGTGTCAGTATCAATATCAGTATCAGTATCAGTATCAATATCAGTAAGTATTAGTATTAGTATTGGTAGTATTAGTATTAGTATTAGTTAGTATTAGTATTAGTATTAGTCTTAGTATTAGTATTAGTATTAGTATTAGCATTAGTATTAGTATTAGTATTAGTATTAGTATTAGTATTAGTATTAGTATTAGTATTAGTATTAGTATTAGTATTAACATTAGTATTATAATTAGGAGTAGCATTAATATTAATAATAATATTAGAATTCACATTAATATATTAGGATTAGCATTAATATATTAGGATTAGTATATTATTATTAGTTTAGTATTAGTATTAATTTTACTCTGACTATAGTATTAGTATTAGTATTAGTATTAGTATTAGTATTAGTATTAGTATTAGCATTAGTATTAGTATTAGTATTAGTATTAGTATTAATATTAGTATTAGTATTAACAAGGCCGGTTTTGGGGAGGCGAAGTAGGCGGTCGCCTAGGGCCCCCGAATTTCTAAGAAATTTTAGGGCCCCCAAATTATTTTACTTACATTTTATATATGAATACTTATTTTTTAAAATTTATTATATATAATATTTTGGAACATCAACTCTAAAATAAATTTAATATAAATGATCAATAGATATTTTTTTTCAATTTTCTTAACCTTGGGGCCCCTAAATATTAAATTTATAATATCTTAATTATTTATTTTTATACCTAAAGTAAGAATCATTATTCATTACGCTATTTAAGTTTTATAAATATTTATAAAGTTTATTTGCTATAAAGATTATACGTCACGGGAGGACGAAGTGAACCAGCAAATCATCATGTTAATTTTGATTTTTTTTCCATATTTGAAGTTATTTTATGTTCATACATTTCAAAAAATGTTTCGGGGCACAACCCTCGAACCCCCGTAATCTTTTATTTCATATTATTAGAAAATATTATTTTTATGTTTTTAGTATATTTAATTTTGAACACCCTTTAATAAAATTGATTGTCAAATAGGGGCCCCAATTTTAAGTTGTTTTTTATATCTAGCCTAGGAACCCTGAATTCTCAGGAACGGCCCTGAGTATTAACATTAGTATTAGTATTTGTATTAGTATTAGTATTATGATTATTTCTACTAGGATTTGGATTGGATTACGATTATGATTATTATTATGATTATGATTATTATTATTATTATTATTAGAATTAGAATTAGCACTGACATTAGAATTATAATTAGAATTAGCATTAGAATTAATATTTGAATTAACATTATGATAATGCGTAAGATTATGATTATGATTAATATTAGCACTAGCATTAGGACTAGGATTAGTAGCATTAGTTTAGGACTAACATTAGTACTAGCAATAGCAGTAGAATTAGAATTACGATTATCATTAGCATTAGTATATTATGATTAACATTAGCATTAGCATATAAGTATTAGTTTAGTATTATGATGAGCATTAACATTATTATTAGCATATTAGTATGAATATTAGTATTGCGATATATTAGCATTATGATTATTAATATTACTAGCATTATAATTAGAATTATAATTAGAATTAGGATTAACATTACCATTAGCAGTAGCATATTAAGAATAGTATTAAAATTAGTGTTAGCAATAGCATATTTGCATTTCTATAAGGATTAGAATTATGATTCGTATTATTAGGATTAAGATTACAATTAGAATTAGATATTATTATTAGAATTAAGATTAACATTAATATTAGTATTAGGATTATAATTATAATTTTGATTAGAATAATGATTGGGTGTAGTATTAGGATTAGGATTATGGTTAGGGATTAGTGGTAACGTTATGATTAAGATTAGCATTAGGATTACTAATAGTAATAGTATTATTATCAGATTAGTATTAGTATTGCTATATTAGTATTAGTATTAGCAATGGTAATGGTAATGATAATGATAATGGTTACGGTAGTTGTAATGGAAATGATTGGTATTGGTATGAGTATCGGTATTGGTGTTGGTATTGATTGGTATTGGTAATGGTAATGATAATGGTAATAGTAATGTAACGGTAATGGTAACGATGTACTCGCCTTTTGTATACGAACATTAAACCTTCGGTATTTATTTTTTTTCACTTATTTTGGCTTAATTTGTTATCTACATAAAATATTTTTTTTTTAACTTTGTATTGCACATTGATCTTACTATTCCGAGAGCTTTTTAAAATTAAATATTTATTTTTATGATAAATTCCTCGTGCAACGCACGGGTGAAGTACTAGTATCTATAAATAAATAATTAGTGACAAATATAAATTATATTTTTTGCGCCTCAAGTTTATCTTGATTCCTCATTTAGTCCCTTATTTTCATAAAAAAATAGATTTAATCCCTCGTGTTTCAATAATTTCACATTTTTTGTTATCTCCGTCAATTTTCCATTAGCACTAGCTGAATCAAGCATGTGTCGTCCATCACTCTCTTAACATACGGACCAACGGTAAAATTAAGTACATGATCAAAAGTGTCAAATTGTTGAAAAATAAGGGACCGAATGTGAATTTTATAAACATTGGGAGCCAAATGTGAAATCTGTACAAACTTGAGGGACCAAAACTGTTGTTTTACCCCTTTGTAAGAAACAGCCCAATTAACAATTACATAAAATAAAATCAGCAAAACAAAAGCCCAATAAATGGCCCATTTTTCTTCATCTTCTTCACCTACTACCCACCCGTGAGTTGCAGAACTGCGGGCCTGCGGCCAGCAACCAAATCTTCAACCTCATAAATCCTCTCCGATCAGTACTTCAACCACTACTTTCCTCTCTCTTCCTATTTTAATGGGTACCCAATGGCTTTTCATTTAAGAAATTCAAGAAAATCGCCGCTCTCCGCATCCACACAGATCCACAACTTCCTCGCCGGAGATGGCGGCCGACCGTCACTCATCGCCGCCGGGTTACGCTCTCCCGTCCACAGAAAAGACACGCCGTTACGAGGGCGGGGAGTTCAAGGAGAGCAAGTTGACGGTAGCTCTCTGCCCGTGTATTTTCTGCTTAATTCTTTTACTTGTAGCAACATCAATCGTACTCGTTGTCAAATTCCGTCTGTACTGCCATACCCCTCTTCACTCTCTCCTATTCAAAAAAGCTTGCCGTTAGTATCTTCGTTGTATCGATCGAATAAAAGTAGGCACTTCTGTAGCGATGTCAATTCGATGCATACCGATTCCGAATTCGAGAGCTACATCGAAAATGAATCAGCTTCTGCCGAATTGGAGGCCGATTCGAAGGAGGTGGAAAGAGTATGCAAGGTGATCGACGAAATGTTTGCTCTAGATAGGAACATGGAGGCCGTTTTAGACGAATGTGGGATCAATCTGAATCATAAACTGGTGTTGTGTGTGCTGCAGAGATTCAATCATGCTCGAAAACCCGCATTTCGGTTCTTCCATTGGGCTGCAGATAGGCCTGGATTCTCTCACGATTCGACCACTTACAATGCAATGATGAACATTCTTGGAAAGACCAGACAATTCGAGACATTGGTTTCTCTCCTCGAAGAAATGGGAGAGAAGGGTTTGCTCACGATGGAGACCTTCACCATCTGCATCAAAGTCTTCGCCGCTGCTAAGGAGAGGAAAAAGGCAGTTGCCATTGTCGATTTGATGAAGAAATATAATTTCAAAGTCGGAATAGAGACCGTTAATTCTTTGCTCGATGCATTGGGTAGGGCCAAGCTTGCAAAAGAAGCTCAAACGTTGTTCGAGAAATTGGAGCACAAATGTGCCCCGAATCTAAAAACATACACAATCTTGATCAACGGTTGGTGCACGGTCAAGAATTTAATGGAAGCCGCTAGAATGTGGAATGAAATGATCGATAAAGGGTTTAAACCCGATATCGTAGCCCACAATATAATGCTCGAAGGGCTTTTGAGTAGCCATAAAAGATCCGATGCAATCAAGTTGTTCGAGGTAATGAAATGTAAGGGCCCACTTCCCAATGTTAGGAGTTATTCTGTATTAATCAAGAATCTATGCAAACACGGCCACTTAAAAGAAGCTATAGACTATTTTGACGAGATGGTCAATTCTGGATGCGGGCCCGATGCTGCGGTGTACACATGTTTAATGACAGGTTTTGCGAATCAAAAGAAGATGGATATAGTTTATCGGTTATTAAGCGAGATGAAGGAGAAAAATTGCCAGCCCGATGGCCGATTGTACAATGCATTGATCAAGATGATGGTGAACAGAAGAATGCCCGACGAAGCGGTGAAGATATACAAGAAGATGGTGCAGAGTGGAGTCGGAGCTTCGGTCCACACTTACAACATGATCATGAAATCGTACTTTGTCGCAAGAGATTGCGAAATGGGGCTTGCGGTTTGGGAGGAGATGAAGAGGAGAGGGTTCTGTCCGGACGAGAACTCGTACACGGTTCTCGTGGGAGGGCTTGTAAGGCAGGGGAGATTGAATGAGAGTTGTGGGTATTTGGAAGAGATGATTGATAAGGGGATGCGGGCCCCACGGATCGATTATAAGAAGTTTTCGGCTGGTTTTTATTGGAGTGGTGGAAGGAATTGTTTGGAGGATTTGGCTGAGAAGATGAAATTGTCTGGTAATTCTGAGGCGGCTAATTTGTCTGGTAAATTGTCTGTTAACTCAAAGAATTACAAAATTCATGTTTTGAGTTTTACCAAATTCAGCTTATTTATTGTTGTTGATAAATTTAATTTAATATATGTTTTTTGGAACAGGAAAGAGCTTATATGATGTTGAGAATGGATATGGGTGAAGGCAGTGATTACGGAAGTTGGGAAGCTGAGAGCTACGAGGATGAGGATGAGGTTGATGCATATGATGACGCCAGTGAAGAGGATTATGATGGTTCTGATGTCGAGGTGGATGATGAAGCAGAAGATGCTTTTGATGTGCATGCCCGTGCTGCAGGATTAGAAAGTGATAGTCAAAACGACGAAGTCGATCCATCTGCTTTTTCGAGTGACGAGGCATATGCTAGAGCCTTGCAGGATGCTGAAGAACGGGAAATGGCAGCTAGATTGTTAGCCCTAGCTGGAATAAATGATAGTGAGTCTGAATTGACCATAATTTAGTTCTTTGCTTTGTTTATTGTCCTTTGGACAATGTATGAGAACTATGTGATATTGAAATGCCGTTTAACGATTCTGTAGTGGTTGTTGGGGAGGATGATGAAGAAGAAGAAGATGATGATGATGATGATGATGATGATGATGATGATGATGATGATGATGATGATGATGATGATGGTGATGATGATGAAGATGAAGAGGAGCATGGTAGTAATGCTCAGGTATGTCTGACGTGATTTGGTTTTTATCTCGTCTGTGCATATGTCATGAAGCTAATATATGTCCTTATTACTAAACAACATCATTTTCGCTCTGACACTGTAGTGTTTGACATATCTTTCTGGTTTTGGTCCTGTAATTTTTTATAGTGCCGTACACATTTAAATGATTCTGGAAGTTGTTGTTTGCTTATTCCTGGCATTCCTGCCAATATATATTTACTCTAATTTAGGCCATGAACAAATATAACTTGGCAAAACCCGTTGTAGCACCGCCATAATGTTGTTTTTAGTGAGGAGACGCTTAAGCTTCATCAATGTCATATGGCTTGTACAACATGTTTGCTCCAAGATTTAGATGTATTATTAATGTATGTAAACTATTGAAATCTAAACATGTCTGAGATGGTGTTAATAAGAGTGTGCCAAAGGAATGATTATCGGTATATTCTTGTATGACCTTACATTTTAATTGTCTGTATTTCCTCACTCCCGTTTGCTGAGATTCATGTATTTTTTAATATTAGGATGCATGGGAGGAGGTTGATCCCGATGAACTGTCATATGAGGTAAAATAGTGATTGCACAGTACTTCCATCTTCTCTTGGGGTTTGTTTTCAATTTGATAATAGTTGATTTACTCTTACAGGAGTTGATTGCACTGGGCGATGTCATTGGAACAGAGAGTCGGGGTCTTTCTGCTGATGCAATTGCTTCATTGCCGTCCGTAAACTATAACTCAAAAGGCACTCATGAAGGAAACGGTGATTCGTAAGTGAACGAGGCCCTCTACTTGTGCCGAAACAATATTACGTCTTCCGTTTAAGGAATGCTGACAATTTTTTATCCTTCTCCCTCAGCTGTGTTATATGCAGGTTGGACTATGAGGATGACGATAACTTGACTGTTCTCTCTTGCAAACATTTATACCATCCCGAGTGTATTAGCAATTGGTTAAACATAAACAAGGTAAATTTTTCGACAAATGAAAGTTTCTTAGACTTATGCTTCTTCTTTCAATTCTGGTTATCACAAACTTGACATTAATCACATGAAGAACAACCATAAATTTATATCCAGGGATGGAAATGGTTTTTGGGTTCTGGGTTTTCGGGTTTGCCAAACTATTAATATTTAATTATTATGTTTTGCTCTTTCGAAGATTTGTTTACATGCATTGAATGTTTGAGAAAGAGGAAAATATTTAATGACATGACTCGGCAAATCGTGTAGGTTTGTCCTGTATGCAGTGCTGAAGTCTCGATTCCGGGGAAAAGCTAGCAGATTATCATCGAATATATTTTGCACAAAGATGGGAGCGGCCAATAATTCGATTACTTGCACTGTTGTTTGGCTCCTATAATTAAAAACCTAGACATATAAAAAAAAGAATGTACTGATGAGCTTTCTGCCAATGGAACCTTTCCTTGTTCTATCTGAATTATTTTGGTCTTATTGAATTGTTTGTTCCCATATTTTAATTTGTTTATTGCATTTAGTATCCTCGTTTACTCATTTTGACACGGATAAACTCCATTTTCCAAAAAGTTGGAAATGGGAACTTGGCGAAATGCGTAAATAATAAAAATATAGGGGTATATTCATAATTATTAAAAAATATTAGGGTAAATTTTTGGCTTGTATATATCAGATTGTGGTGCATCATAAATTGCATTTTTACACAAAACGAGTACAAACTAAAGTATATTTTACGAAATGTAGATGATTATGTTGAATTTGACACCATAAAAGTGGAGGTGTAAGAAAAAATCATAGTTAATGGGTAGATGTAATTATCCAAACAAGGGAAGTTTTTCGTACATTGACCATACCTCAGGGATTGTTGTAATTTATCCAAAATATTATAACGGTTATCTTATTTATTGTCAATTACATATTTGTATCTACAAATTATAAATAACATACAAATTCCATCGTCAATTACATATTTGTATTTACAAATTATAAATAACATACAAATTCCAATTCAAATTATCATTCCACAAATTACGTTTGGAGCGTATAAATTTTGCGTGGAAACACGTTTCAGCTTTTCATTATTACCAGAAACGACCTGAATTTCTCAGATATTTACGGAAATGTCCCCCAAACGTTTCGGACTTGTGTCGTGGAGTTTCGATTTCAGAAACGTTTCTGAAACATGGAAACCCGTGTGGGTAGAAGTTTCCGTGCATCATAAATAGCAATTCTTTTTATTTATTTATTTTTCTTATATACAACTTGTTTGAGAATTATAATTTATACCAATAGCAAAATTATGGGTTTTGGGCACTCTGCACCCTTATCTTACACCATTTTGACACTATTGCACCCTTAAATTACAAAATTGGCAGACTGCACCCTTTAAACATAAATTGTTTGACAATTTGCACCCCAAATCACTTTTGGCTTAAAAAACTTACCTGCAACTTGATGGAAACATGGAAGATGGGCAAATTCATAATTTTCTTATTATCTATCATCTTCCCTCAATTCTTACTCACCGTTCCACCATTTTTATCTTTCGTCCATTCAATCAAAAAATCCTATAATCTTTTTAGCCATTTCTTTCAATGGTAAAATCGGTATAAACACTAAACAATAATAGTAAATCACTTTTTTTTTTCTTTTGAGTATGAAAAATAATGTAACTGGAAATTTTAGGCCGAACCCTCAATTTTTTTTTGAATAGTCAAATGACAAAATAAGGCTACTGAGAAGTTTATTTCGTGGTAGAAATGTGGTGCCTATTAGTTTCATGATGGGAAGATTTTTGTGCCCCCATTGAATAGTTTGGATCTGCAAAATTAATAAAAAAAAAATAGCGTTACCATGGAATAAAACTTGATTTTTTCAAGGTGTTTTATCGGACTCTTGTCTATATATTCTGACCATTCTTGAGTTTTGGTTCAAAATTTACATATTATGGCAAATAGAAACGGCTAAGAAGAATTATGATTTTTTGATTAATATGACGAAATATAAAAATGGTGGAACAATGACTAAGAATTGGGGGAATATGATAGATAATTAGAGAATTGCGAATTTGCCCATCTTTCAGGTTTTCAATAAGTTGTAGATAATTTTTCTATGCCAGAAGTGATTTGGGGTGCAAAGTGCCAAACAATTTATGTTTAAACAGTGCAATCTGCCAATTTTGCAATTTAAGGGTGCAAAGTGTCAAAAGGGTGTAATATAAGGGTGCAAAGTGCAAACAACCCCAAAATTGAGGACTGAAAATTTTGCATTTCAGCTTCGTCTCCAAAATTCAGGTTCAAAACCCCCAAACCCCCGGGAGAGAACTTTATCTCTTCTTCCAAAAATCAAAGCACAAATGTGGTGAATGGTGATATACTGATATGTATTCTACTCTCTCTTCTCCCCTTCTAAACCCTCTCCTCTTCAACTTCCCACTTCGCTACTCCGCCAAACCCTACCCCAGAATCACCACCACCACCGCCCCATTCACCGGAAATTCCATTTTCCTTTTCAAATCATTCTCACCCCTTCATCCACTCCGAGCTCCGGCGGTCGCCGTACGGTCTTCTGTTAATGACGATAAGGTGAACGAAATACGACCCGTAATCCTATCCGACAACCCCAAACGCTGCGGCGAAGAAAACAATGCACTCGCGATTGCCAAGCCGGTTGCATACGCATTGCTCTGCATCGTGTTCGGATTTTGCTTTCCGTTCTTCGGGTTCCGTAGACCCGCTTTGGCTGCCTCCGCGGCCGCCCCTCCTGCGGCCGCGAGCAGATTAGTTGTAACCGAGGAGAATGGGCACGAGTACTCGAGTTGTACCAGAAGGTTGTTGACGGTTGTCTCGAAGCTGCTTAAGATAATCGAGGCTGCTAAAATTGAGGGGAAGGTAGATTGCGGCCCGAATGTTGAGGAGGGGTTACAAGAGGTGAAAACGACTAAGGGGGCATTACAAGAAGAGATAATGAATGGTCTTTACGCTGAGTTGAGGGTTTTGAATGGAGAGAAAGAGACGCTGATGAACCGCTCGGAGGAAATCGTGGACAAAGTATTTAAGTCGAAGAGGGAGGAGGAGAATTTGGCGAAGAAAGTGAAAGGTGGTGTTGCTAAGGGAGGGAAGGAAGAGTTTGGAGAATGAATATAACGAAATATGAGGGAGGATTGGGGAAATTGAAGATTTGATTGAGAGGAAAGAAACTATGGCATTGAGCATTGGTGTGAGGGAGCTTTTGTTTATTGAGAGAGAGTGTGAGGCGTTGGCCGAGAGCTTCCTTAAGGAAATGAGGAGGAGCAAGACTGAAAGGTAGTAAACGAACCCCCTAATTGTAATTTTGAAATGATTTAGATGCTTACAAGTTACAAACAACCTGAGATGAAGTTCTCGTAAGAAGAATGGACTTGAACATGAAATGTGGTTTCCTTTTCCTTTTATGTTTGATAGAAGTCTCAGGACGGTGAAATACAAACTGGTGATGTTAGTGTTATAGCCTGCCTATAGGCACAGATTTCAAGTTTTCCCCGATCTATCTTTTCTTCTTCTGTTGTATCTCAGACTCTCAGTGTTAAGCTTATAACTCATTAGTACTCTATCTTTTTTATGGTGACCCAGTTCTTATATTCTGCTTTGAATCAATTAGTGCTGTATTTTCGTGATTCGTTTGTATTTTTCTACCATAAGCGGACATTGCAAATTTCATTAATTTGGTGAATAAACTCTCACTGTATGAAAGTTGTTGTGCATATTTTTCTTTGAATATGGTGCAAATGTAGCCAAACGAGTATGGACATGGGGAAAGTATTATTTGAATAACATACTGTTCATGTGAAGACCCGATTAAGTTTTAATTTGCTTCTGCAGATATGCACAAAATTTTCCTCATATGGAAATTATGTTCTGTTCAATAATTCTTGAATTTGGGAAGAAAAGGGACCTCCAGAAATGGTCAAAATCATCGTTTATTAAAACTGAAATGACATTTAACACAAAAAAAATATTTGATTTTGTCTGGCTATTGCATGAGTTTACCGGATTTATTCATGGCCGCGAAAATAATATACATACTAATTAGTTGTTATAATAATAGACATTTGTATTGTTTTGAGTTAGTACTTCTTCCCCTTTCAGTTTTGGTTGGTCGGGATAGAGCGAATCGAACTCGATCCCAATCATGTCGTTTTTGTAGGCTCCCTATATGTAACAAATCCAGTGAAAAAAAAAAACAAGGGAAGTAAAAGATTTAGTATGTTATATTTACGACTGATTAAACTATTTACCTGTAAAGCCCATGACAATGACATGTAGTTGATATAGGAAACGGGATATGTCCAAAATATCTTAGGAAGTTCGGGAAGGAGCCGGAAGAAACCTGCTGTAGCCATCATTATACCCTGC